ATCTGTCTACTTAAAATTTCCATCTGATTGTGTGGTATTTAGCATTAGTGACTCCATATTGGTGTGTACTGCTCTTTAGGGGTCTAGTGAAGGATTTCAGATCTACACAGTGCCCTCCCCCTTTTTTTTAAAGCAGGTACATTAGTTTTATGCTGTTGTCAGAGACTGTTCATTTGTTTCCTGGCTGCCAGACCCGAAATAATCGCACAGAAGCTATATTTATTAGCTCAGGCTTCTTATTATCTAACTCTTGCATCTTAGATTAACCCATTTCTATTACTTCGTTTTTTTCCACGAGGCTCGTGGTTTACTGGTAAGGTTCTCAGGGCGTTTACATGGCGTCTCTCTGACTCTGCCTTCTTTTCTCCTCTATCTCTGCTTGGAATCCCTTTCTTGCTATATTCTGCTCTGTCAGAGGCTAAATTAGTTTCTTTATTATCCAATGATAATAAAATAAAGTAATAAAAACAGCATACAGAGAGGATCCCACATCAATACACTAGTTATGTCCATAGTTTTTATCCTTTGTGTTTTACTTCAAACATTCCACATGTTCTCCTGTTTTCAGGTCTAATATTTTTGCTTCTATTCCTAATTTTCATCTGACCTTCCACAGTTCTTTAGTTCATGGTGGCTTGAGTTATGGTTTTGAAAATGTAAGTTAGGTTCTATTTCAGTATTTTACCAACTCCTTTATAGTGGTATATTATTTGTGTTTTAATAAATAAAGTCTCCTGAGGATCAGAGAGCAAAGCAGCCACACTAGTCAGCCATAGAGGTTGAGTAGTGGTGGCACATGCCTTTAATCCCAGGATTTGGGAGATAGAGTGTAACATGAGGGGCCGGCTTGTTGGGGTTTCTGTCCTGCCCAGTACCCCACAGCCGCAAGCCCAAAGAAAATCACACACAGGACTCCATAGATTGTAAACTGATTGGCCCATTAGGTCAGGCTACTTATTAGTTCTTATAACTTATGTTACGCCATTATCCTTATCTACATTAGCCACATGGCTCCGTACCTTTCTCAGCTGGGTAAGTAACATGCTGCCTCTTTGGTGGTTTGCGCAGGAGTGGCAGAGGAAGCTTCCTGCGTCCCAGAATATTCCTGTTCTCATCGCCCCGCCTCTACTTCCTGTCTGGTTGACCCACCTATACTTCCTGCCTGGCCAATCAGCGTTTTATTAAAATACATGATTGACAGAATACAGACAATTCTCTCACACCAATAGAGGCAAACGGTTCTCTGAGTTCAAGGCTACCCTGGGCTACACAAAATCAATTCAGAAACAGATCCAGGTGGTTGTAGTTCACACCTTTAACCCCAGTGATATCACTGAGCACAGAGAGGAGTGTAAAGGGGAAGAGGATTCGTGCAGACAGGGATCTTGCCCTTTCAGTCTGAAGATTTGGTAGAGATAAAAGTTCTCTCTAATGGTTGGCTGCTTTGTTTTCCTGATCTTCAGGAGACCACAAAAGGAAGCAATTTGTGATGGCTTTGGGAATTCTAGGAAGATTTAAGAAAAGAAAAAGTATTTGATTCAAGTTTTTGATAAATCAGATTTTGTTAGATGTGATTATTTACTGGCCAGTGTTTAAAGTGTTTGATGTGATTATTTACTGGCCAGTGTTTAAAGAGTACCTACTGTATGAGAGGCACTGGGATATTTATACTTTAACACATGATTATTAGATGCTATGTCTTTGAAAGGGAATTGCTGTTTGTTTAAGACTGCTTTACTGCATTATCACTAAACAGTACATACAAGTTCTTTTTTTTCCCTTAAATATAAACATTTATTTACTGGTGCCTATATTTGATGCACATTCTCTTTCATTCTGTTCAGGAATATATTTAGAAATGAATTAACTGACCTAGCTACAATCATACATAAAGTAACATTGTGTTTTTTTACACTTTGTGTCTGTGTATGTGTATATTTGCTGGTCTGGGTGGAGTAAACCAGCAATCTTTAGCCCTCAGCCTCCTGGGTGTTGAGATGACAGGTATACTACCATACCTCACAGAGCTGTCTTATTTCACTGGACTAAAATAAAATAGAGGAAGAAAATACAAACATGAATTTAGTGTCCAGAAAACTAAAGTTACTACATTGTGATCATTTTAAGATTTTTTTTTAAAGTAATGTGTTTTTGTGTGCACCATGTATGTGCCTGGTACCTGCGGAGGCCAGATTTCCTGGGACTGGATTTACAGAGCATTGTGAACCACCATATGGGTACTGGGAATTGAATCAGAGTCATCTTGAAGAACAGCTGTTCTCTTAACTGCTGAGACATTTCTCCATCTCTTTTAGTCCCATTTTTCTGTTTGAAAAAAAAAATCCTCATTTTCACAACTTGTGATCGTCTTCCCTTTACAGTTTTTAATCTAACCAAAATGGTAATAGACCAAAATATTAGCATCCTGTTCTGTACTGATTTACTCAATCTGTTTTTTGGATTTGTAGATCTATGAAATAAAAAACTCGATTACCATTGGATTAATTTTTGTGTCACATCCGTGGCCAGAGTTGGTAGATAAATGTTAGATGGTCTGTGAGCCTTTGTGAGTCTCCTGTCTTAGTCTTCTGTCTCCCATGAGAGCACTAGCGTTACAGGTGTGCAGTATTGCATCTGATTCAAGTCATCAGGCTTTAGTGGCCTCCTGAAATGCCATTTATGTTTCTTTAAGAATGGAGTCATGTTTTATAACCCTTAAACTCATAGAGATCCATCTACCTCTGCCTCTCAAGTGACAGGATTAAAGGCTTGTGCCTGTGCCTGTGCCTGGCCAGTGCTAATTTTTGAACACTGAAAGATTTCGTTTTGTATTATTAATTCACAGGTTTGTTTATCTTTTTTTCCATTTCATAGTACATTTGTTTCTGCAGTTGTAAGTACGAAGTACTGACCTTTCCTTATTTCAATCATCTTTGCTGTACTTAGATGAAAGTTTGTCACTTAATATATGTTTCTCTTGTGAGTAATGAGTTTTCAGCCTTTGTACTGACAAATACCTTTAAATAATACTCTTTTAAAAAAAAAATCAGGCTTTAGCCATTGACTCGTTTCTAGTCCCAGAAAATTTTAGGCAGCATAAAAGTTCAGATAGCACCAAAGGACTTACTATACCATTGCTGTTTACAGCTTAGGTTTTGTAGAATTTCCGTAATGGAAAATTCAGACAATTACAACTAATTAATCTGAAGCAAATTTATTGTTCAGTGAAGTGTTTTCTGTTCCCATGATTTTGTCATCAGGGCACACACAAGCCTCCTCCTGCAAAGCTGTGTTCATTGTTTGTAGATGGAGGCTGCTTTTTCGCTTCCCTGCCACCCAAGACCCTAAGTAATCACACAGAAGCTGTATTAATTATAACACTGCTTGGTCAGTAGCTTAGGCATCTTACTAACTAACTCTTAAATCTTAAATTAACCCATCCTATTATTTTATAATTTACTACAAGGCTCATGGTTTACTGGTAAGGTTCTGGTGGTCTGTCTCCTTCAGCAGCTAAATGGCATCTCCCTGACTCCACCTTCTTTTCTCCTCTATCTCTGCTTGGAATTCACATCTTTCTGTATTCTGCGCTGCCATAGGCCCAAAGCATCTTTTTTATTAACCAATGGTAATAAAACATATTCACGGCATACAGATTGGAATCCCACATCAATTGTTCCTCTTTGATGGATAGAGAGACGCATTAGTAAGGCGAGAATGTGGGGGTAACTATTTCTGAGGGTGTTTGGGGAAAACCACACAGTGTATTGTGTGAGATTTCTTGAGGCAGAAATTGGTAGACTGAACAAGTATTGTTATTGCAAATGGGATGGGGAATTTATGAACTATTTAGGAGCATCTGTATTAACCCCTCAAAAGTAGGCTTATTTCTCTAGAACAGTGGTTCTCAATCTTCCTAACACTGCAGCCCCTCCCAATACAATTCCCTATTGTTTTGTTGCTGCTTAATAATGGTAATTTTGCTACTGTTATAAATCATAATGTAAATATCTGTTATGCAGTATATTTGATATGTGACCCACACTCGGGTTGAGAACCCTTGCTCTAGAGGTTGTTAGTTTAACTGGATGAGTAGTAAACAGTGCCTGTTTTTTAATTTCTCTTTTGATGTATGATATTGAAAAAGAAGTGTGTCATAGAAAAGGTAACATTTATTTAGGTTTCCTCCCAAGAACATTAGAAAATTTGAAAGGTGAATGTATTGTTTAGTAAGAAATTGGCCTTGTCTTTATTTGTGTGTCTCAGTATCACTTAATAAGAAGTAATTTGATAGATAGGAACCAAAGATTCTGGTCTTCCATTTTTAGTATTTATCTGTGAAGAAGTGGATTTTAAATCTCGCAGAATCCTTAGACATCATCTTTTAGTCTTTTTTATTTTTAGTTTTGTGTGTGTGTGTCTCGTACTGGGTCTCAAAAATGGGTTCTCTGCATGAACAATAAGATCTCAATCTCTGAGCTCTTTCTCCAGCCCCTATAATACACTTGAAGGAAAAAAGTATTCCAAGTGTAGAATATTAACTTGACTAAAGGGAATGAAAGGAATCAGTCATGTTGTTAACCATTGATTATTAGTTTTATATCTGTGTTTGGAAGAGCAGATACTCCTTTGACTGTATTTGTTAGAGACTTTGAAGTGATCTTAATGAAAAATCTAATTTTGTCCACAAGGAGAAAATAAATCTCAGACAGTCACCATCGTATAGTTAAATAATGATTAATTTATAGTTGTATTAATAGATTTATTCAACTTGATAATAAGATATATTTAGAATAAAATACTTCTCGTATTCTTTGTATTTCTATGGATCCCAGACCCCATCCTTACTATACTCTTTTTTTGTCTTTCCCATTAGACTTCACCCATGGGGTAAGATCCACTGTTCACAACTGACTGCCAAGTTGACTAATCATGGCTCATGACTTTGTGGCATTCCTCTCATATTTTAAATATCTCATTTGAATTTTATTTTTTTACAGTGAACAGAGTATCTGTCAGGCAAGAGCTGCTGTGATGGTTTATGATGATGCCAATAAGAAGTGGGTGCCAGCTGGTGGTTCAACTGGGTTCAGCAGAGTACATATATATCACCATACAGGCAACAACACATTCAGAGTGGTGGGCAGAAAGATTCAAGACCATCAGGTAAGGGTCTGCTAAAATCCTTTACAATTTGTATTTGTGCGTGTGTGCATACTTATAAGTACAGACTTGTACATGTGGTAGCATACATGTGGAGGTTAGAGCAGAGCTCCTGGGAGTCTGTTTTCTCTTGCCGCTTTGTAGGATCTGAAGACTGATGGCCATCAAGCCTCACTGAGCACTAGAGGTGTTTTTGTTTGCTTGATTTTTTTTTTCTTCATTAGATTGTCTTCTTTGGCTATCCACATGACTAGGTTTTATAAGCTAAATTCAGGATAGACAAAGATGAAGTACAATGTAAAGAATACATTGTATGCTTATGGAACTTATTTACTTATTATTTATTTTCTGAGGCTAAAGAAAGAATTTGAATGTTTAAATGATTTCTGAATGTATTGTTAAATTCATAAGTGATTTTTTTTTTAAGTAGTAAGCATTAGTAGTGCCAGAATAATTAGGATTTTCTTTCCAGTTCATATCTAAGGTGACAGCTGAGCTTTTGGTAATTCCCTATTCCAAATTTTCAAGCAAGTAATTGGGTTGTTTGATTGCTTGTTATCTTGGTCCCTCTTTGATAGATGGAGGCAGAGGGAAAGGTAGATCAAGCTTCCTGGTGTTCTTTGTATACTAACAGCAGGAACTTTGACGGGTTGTAGATTTACTAAATGTTTTCCAAGATGTAATCTAACTCATGTTTAAAACCATCTTGCTACAAAGTATGGAGAAAACACACCTAAGTTCTATCTGGTACCCCGTGAGTTCTTGTTTAAAGAAAGTTAGACCCACAGTTTTCTAGTAAGATGGAATGCAAACCCACGCTGCAGTAACCCTCAGTTGGAAGTTGATTTGTCAGGTGTTAATACCTCGGGATTTTTATTTGTCATGCATTAGCGAATGGGCGTTGAAACTTGGACTTCTGTACACAACTGGGACTCAGAGAGGCTGCATCTCAAAAAGTGCAAGTCCTCTTCTTCTTGTCTGAGGAGATTTTGGAGTTTCCCTGAGAAATAGAAGCTGCAGTTTGTCTTCCTTACATAGGTGATTGTACATCAATTGTACTGGAACTCCTAGGACACCTGATTAAAAATACAGTGTTTCTCTGATGAGAAAATTTCATCGTTTCTGAGTTACTTTACAGAAATTAGTTCACCTCGTATCTTACCTGCCCCCTTCCTCCTCCCTCACCTCTCCTTTTCTTTTGTTCTCCAGTTTCATTGTTGTGTTACACAGCCTCTAGACACCAAAACTCCACTCATTGCTGCCTGTCTATTGTTCAACTGCACCACCTGCTCTCTTTCTTCATCTGTCCTCCAGCAGAGTGGTCCCTTAGGTTAGACTGGTTCTCAACCTTCCTAACACTACGACATTGTGGTGACCCCCAACCACAAAATTATTTTTGTTGCTACTTCCCAATATAAATATTACTACTGTTTGGAATCATATGTAAATATCTGATATGCAGGATATCTGATATGTGCGTGACCCCTGTGAAAGGGTCATTTGACCCCCAATGGGGTCATGACCCACAGGTTGAGAACCAGAGGGTTAGTGCCGTGCCAGTATTGCCCATGATGATATAATGGAGAACAAAATGAAAACTAGAAGGTTAAAAACTAGCCGAGCTATGATGGCTCATACCTTTAATCCCAGCACTTGGTAGGCAAAGACAGATGGAACTCTGTGAGTTTGAGGTCTGCCTGGTCTGCAGAGTAAGTTCCAGGACAGCCAGGGCTACACAGGGAAACCCTCTCTTCAAAACAAAACAAAAACCTTTCTTTTCTTTCCCAGTATATGGATGTTTTGCCTGTGTATGTGCCTGAATCACATGTGGAGACAAAACCATGGAGGATTCCTTTACTACTAGCCCTTGGGAGATAAAAGCAGTCAGATCTCTCTCTGAGTTCCAGGCCAGCAAGGGGTATATAGTGAGATCCTATCTTCAAAACAAATAAACAGGAATAAATTATTTCAATCATTTAACCTTTGAGCATGGGACAACATTGTAACTGATCTTTAAAAATAAGAAATGTAATCTGTTGTGGTGGTACATGCATAATCCCTATGGATCTTTGTGAGTTCAAGACCAGTCTGGTCTACATAGCAAATTATAGGATAGTGAGGGCTTCATAATAGAGATACCCTGTTTTGTTTTGTTTTTTTTTTTTAAAAGCCCAAAACAAATAAACAAAAAAAGTTTAAATATTATCACTTAATGGTAACTACTTAGTGTACGACTGACCGTGGAAGCTTATTGTATGCCTAAGCTGTGTGCTACAGGTAATCTCATGCAGCCTGACCACAACAAAGTGAGCAGTACATGAATACTTAATTTTGTTGTTGTTGTTTTTCGAGTCATGGTTTCTGTGTGTAACAGTTCTAGTTGTCCTGGAACTAGCTCTTGTAGACCAGTCTGGCCTCGAACTCATGGAGATCCGCCTGCCTTCTGCCTCCTGAGTGCTGGGATTAAAGGCATGCGCCACCACTGCCCAGAGAATATTTACACTCTTATGACCTGCTACAGTATTAACCTTGTCTGTAAAGTCAGCTTATGACTCATTTCCCTATCTTCTCAGCAGCCTTGTTTCTTTTCTGGCCTTGCTTTTATTTATCATGACTAAAGCATTTCACTGTTCGTTTTTTCTTACAAGCTTAATATTCATACTTTTCAGAAGCTAGCATCAGATAAAAGATACTTGGTATTGACCATATTTTTTTTAACATTGTTGCATGTCTAATTAGTAGACTAGGCAAGAAAAAGAAAATAAAATGTTCAAGGATTTAAAAAGAAGATATGAAAAAGTTATAGGTAACATGATTATTTATTTTGAGGCAAGAAACGTGGACATAAATCATTAGGATTAGCAGGATTTGTTAGAATTAATAAATCTTAGATTAGTAATAGGTCAGAATCAAGAAGTAAGTTTAATAAGTGCTCTAGGTATGTTGTCATCTGAGTTAGAAAATGAATTTAATTAATGTTGTTTGCAATGGTGTCTTAGTGACCTTTCTGACGCTGTAATAAAATATGCTGATTGAAACAGCTAAAGTCAGAAGGAACAGCAATCTGGCTGCTCACGTTGAGTTGCCTACTAGGAGCCACAGGCTGTAGATCTTCAAGGCTTGTCTCCAGTGACCCCCTTTCTCTAGACATGCTCAGCCTCCGAAAAGTTCCACAACTTTGCCAAACAGTGCCACCAGCTAGGGACCAAGTGTTCAACCATGAGCCTATGGAGAATGTTTTAAAACCAAATAACAATATTTTATCAAATACCTGAAAATTTATGGTAAGCGCTTAAGATACCAATACAGAGAACTATTGAGTGTTAATGCCAGCCTAAATAAGGAATACACTCATGAGATAGCTCTATGACATCAGTGATTAAATTGTTAGCTCCAGTACAATATTTTTTTGGGTGTTTTGTTTGTTTTGTTTTCTTGTTTTTTGAGACAGGGTTTCTCTGTGTGGCCCTGGCTATCCTGGAACTCATTCTGAAATCAGACTGGCCTCAAATTTAGAGATCCACTTTCCTCTTTCTCCCGAGTGCTAGGATTTATGGTGTATGCCACCCCTGCCCAGCGTTTCCGTACAGTCTTAAATTTGGAAATTAACAATTAGAGTGTAAATAGTAGCTTTATACAGAGAACCAGAAATAGCTAAAGCAGTAATGAGGAACAGAGTAGGAGAACAAAGCTACTGGCTGAGACTTAGTAGAAAACTTCAGTAGTTAAGACACTAGAGTTGGGTAAATTTTAGATATATTTGCCAGTGGGACAAAACACCATGTAGGACAAAGGGTAAACCTGCATCTTGGTTAACAGAAGTCAGTCGGATCCTATCTTACACCATAGATTTGAGTCAATCAATTCCACTTGTCCCAGAGATGCAGATGTTAATTTCAACAGTAGTAGAGCTTCTGTAAGACAGACAGAGGTACTGTTTTCATTACTGAGATTGGGAAATACTTCTTAAACAGAACACAAAAACATTAAAAGAAAAAAGGATTGCCAATTTGAGATAGAAGAAAGTGAGTATCACTAAGTGGATAAAGTTATGGGTGGTACAAGGTATTTGTCAGACAAACATCTTTCCTTTGGGATAATTTGCGAAGAACAAGATGGCTCACTTAGGAGAGAAGGGGAACAGAGGTTTATTAATGCATGTAAGCAGGAATTCACAAAAGAATTATTTTGAAGCAAATAAAAGACACAAAGGGAGCCTATGTATAACTTAGTGGATAAACTCATCCTGGCAGCCTAAGTTTTATCCCTAGAACCTATATAAAGATGGAAAGAGAACTAATGCCGCACAGTTGTCATTTGGGCTCTACACATGTGCTATGACATGCAGGCCTTTTTCTGAACCCCATAATGCACACACAATATAATAAATTAATTTTTTTTCAGAAGTTGAAAATGTACTAAACCTTATTAGTGATCAGAGTAATGTAATATACACTAAAACACAAGGACACACATTCAGAGTCACCAGATCACTATAAAGACCAACATTATCAGCGGTAATGCTGCACAGTGTCTGGGGTCATACAGACTTTCATACACTACTCAGGAAGAGTAAGTGATAGGACCAGCTTAGAAAGCTGTGTGGCATTTTCTACTAAAGTTAGCTGTACAGTTGACCTAATACCACTCATGGGTGCATGTTCAGTAAGAATGTGTGCTGTATTCACCAGATGTTCAGTAGAGTGTTCATGTCATTATTTGTAGTAGCCACAAATTCTAGATTATAGAAGTGTTAGTGCAGGAATGGGCAGATTGGCAGTTTATTTACAAAGGAATGTTGTATAAAGCAGTGAAAATTAATAAACCACAGTTGCATGTACGGGTTGATGACTTTCAAATGTGAATTTGAAGAAAGAGAACAAGTACACCTCTGAACATCAATTCTATAACTGTTTTTCTCAAATCTTATAAAACTAGTTTGTAGTATTAGAGATACTCTCTTCGGATGGGAGGAGTCAAGAGGGCCCTTCACAGTTAATGTTCCGGTTTTGTGTTTGTAGTTTTCCAACAGACAAGTTAAAGTATATGTAATGAGGTACATTGCTTTCCTTTTGTTGATTTACTATTTTAAAGCAGGGCTTTCGTAACCTGTGATATCTTAAATTCCATCAGACTCATTTCTGTAGACATACTGTTACCCTAAGTAACTGTTCCAACTACTTTTGACAAAGTCTGCTAGGAACAAGTTTTATCAATAACCCACTGTCAGGGTTTGTATTGACTTGTATTATTTTCCCAGTGACTAGCCTGACTTTGTAATGAATTATTGTCTTTTAGGTCGTGATAAATTGTGCCATTCCTAAAGGACTGAAGTACAATCAAGCTACACAGACTTTCCACCAATGGCGGGATGCTAGACAGGTGTATGGTCTCAACTTTGGCAGCAAAGAGGATGCCAATGTCTTCGCAAGTGCCATGATGCATGCCTTAGAAGTGTTAAATTCACAGGAAACAGGTAAAGTGTCTGTGCTTTCCCTGTATTCTCCAACTGAAATGCTATATATATGTAAAAGCAAACCTTTCTCGTTAGTTTTTAAGTCATATATCTATTTAAGGTAATTCCTAAGTTATTTTTTACAGAAATGTGAACTCTTCTTTATGTTGAAAGTATATTCTAGAAGCATAATCCTGTGAGTTTAGTCTAGTTACTTCTTACACCTAGGACATGAGAGCCACCAGAGAGAGATACACGGTCTTTATATTGCTCACACTAGTCTCAAGTTCTTTACATTAGGCAACCCTCTTGCCTTCTGATTACCAGATATCTGAAATATTAGTCATACCACTATGCCTGATGTTATTTGCTGTTTGTGAGAAAAAAAAAACTAGGTTTCTAAAATACAGTTTTTAAGCCACTGCTGATCCTAAGGACTTAAAATTAGAATAAGGTCTACTGGATAAGAGCTTGACTATAAAGCAGTGGTTCTCAACTTTCCTAATGCTGTGACCTTTTAATACAGTTCCTCATGTTGCATACAGTGACTCCCAAACATAAAATTACTTTCGTTGTTACTTCATAACTGTAATTTTGGTACTCTTATGAATCATAATATAAATAATCTGTGTTTTCTAATGATCTTCAATGATCCTTGTGAAAGAATCTCAAAGGGTCGTGACTACAGGTTGAGAACCACTGTTCTAAAGGTTGTTTGAAGATTAGAGGCATGCCCTCAACTTACCCAAGCTATAACTGAATTCTTAGACTACATGTTGCTTAAAAAGAAGATTAGAAATAATTCACTTTTAAAAGCCCAAGTAGTTGAAACCTTCTGTCAGAGATAAACTTTTGGTTTAATGCAATAAATTTTGTAATCAGTAAATGTTAAATATGAAAAAATATGTATAATTACTCCTTCCTGTGTTATATGTTTGGTAGTGATTTTAATGATATAAATGTTGTGATTAGAATTCATGTAGTTTAATGAGTACTATAATCAAATGAAATACTGATATTTTGTTGATACAGAATTTCTAAAATCCATTACAAATGTTATATCTTATCCTGAAGATAAGTGAAGCATGAAAAGGATTAAAGCATCTGACTCCTTTGTTTTAGAAATGAGTGTTAGAGGAATAGGCATTTTGAGACCTTGCAGAAAATTTTATGCAATTGTACCTGTATCTGTTTTATATAAAGTTTTCTTTGGAGGAAATCAATATCTGTAAGGAACATATTTTGTTCTCATATTGGAATTTTTTTTTGAGGAAATGAACCATTAGAACTTATTCTGATTCATCTCTTAGTCCAAGAACAGGATAATGAAGTCTGGCCGCATGGAGCTCAATCTCAGAGTCCCTATGCTGTGTTTGTCGGCACCTTGCATTATTAGCATATATTATAGGAATAGATTTATCTTGTAGTGATTGGAAAAGGAACTAGAATCGTGATTCATTTATCTTAAATAGGTCAGTTACATAATTTGAAGAGTGTGTGCATAGCAGCTTCTATCTTCCTGTGTTTGAAACCAACTACCATTTTCATATCTCAGCCTTCAAAAGGGGGTCCAGTTAAGAACTAAATGTCACTTAGTGTTGTTCAAATTATTGTTGATACTGGTTATTGTTTTAACCAAATGGAAAATACTGTTTTTCAGTGAGTAATATTGCAGTTTGTTTTTAAAATGCAAATGATAGAGTGGGTTTTGTTCTGATCCTTATTATTTGAAATTGAGCTTAATGTGGAGAGACTCAAATTACATTCTCTTACAAAACAATAAACATTAAGAAATACTGTTTTGAATTATGTAAAGCTTTGCAAATAGGAAATTCAATGGTTTTATTTGCTGTAGAAGCATTTTGGTGCATACAGTATATAGCATTATTGTTAGAGACAAGTTTGATAATACATTATCTCTTTTTCACAATTTCAGTTGTGGTAGTATAAACTGGTTGAAATTAGTTATCTCTGTCATGGACCAAATTATTGGCACTGAAGCTTTAGGTTCTATTCTGTCTTGTTCATTCTCAGAGAAAACAAAACATTAACACGGTTTTAATTTGTAGATAGCATCATTTATTTATTTAGGAAATTATTTTACCATAAATACCAATTTCTGAGCCTCTGAGTTCAAGGACAGCCAAAGCCATACAGAGAAGCCCTGTCTTGAAAAACCAAATAAATAAATACATACATCACAATTTCTGAATTTTGATGGCACTAATTGTCCATGAAGTGAAAGAATGGGAAGAAATAAATATTAAGAATCTGGTGTGTCACACCTTTAATCCCAGCACTTGGGACACAGAGGAAGGTGGATCTCTGGGAGTTCAAGGACAGCCAGGGCTACAGATAGCCCCTGGGAAGGGATGTGATTTCTTGTGCAGATTCTCACAACAAAATAGAAATGTCTTCTACCTTGTGGTGTGCGGGCCCCTCCCATCCACCTAAAGCAAACATACCAAACAATACTGTTAGCAGCCTGACCTTATCTTCCCTTGCCAAAGCTCTTTGCTTTGGGTTCACAGCCAAAAAAAAAAAAAAAAAAAAAAAAAAATCATCTGTTGAAATCATCTGCTGTCTTTCTGTTAACCCAAGCTGTTGGAAAAGCTTGACTTTCACACTCCTATGTAAACAGTAGCCCAGTGCATTTGACTGGATGCAAAAGAACAAACTTGCCCATGAAGGCAGAACAATTTTACGCACCAGTCTACCTGTTTCTTAATTTTTTTGTCTTTGCTATTTTCATATATAATTACTTTGATCACACTAATTGCCATTTCTTTCTTATTCTTTATACTGTGTTGCCATTTCCCTTCCTCCCTTCCTTCCATTGTGCTTGGAATTGAACTGAGCCCAAGGCCTTGTATATGCTAGGCAAGCATTCTACCACTGAGCTGCATCCTCAGCCTGTTTTACCACTTTGTAAAGCCATATTCCATATTTACTGTCACTGTTTATATTTGTGTAGGTGCTAACGTGAGAATCAAACATTTCTGTTGTCAGTTAACCTTTCTTAGAGATTCTCAGACTTTAAGGGCATGAGTGTCTTTATTCAAACAATTTTTTTGTTGTTATTGTTTAGTTTTTTTGAGACAGGGTCTCTCTTTGTAACACTGTAGACCAACAATTTTTTTTTTCCCTGAGGCTCAGTACAAATGGATCAAATGTCGGGGGAGTAAGAGAGCTTCTCTAATTAATGTGGGGTTAGCTCACAGCTACTGAGGTACTACATGGCTTTCCAGAGCATTTTTTAGTAGTGTGCTCTCTCTTGCACTTGCTTGTCTTCCCTCCTGCCCGTCCTCCCTTCCTCTCTACCCCTCTCCCCCCTCCCTCTTCCTCTCCTTGACTGTCCTGGAAGACCTCTGTAGACGAGGCTAGCCTCAAACTCACAGAGATCTGACTGACTCTGCCTCTGCCTCTGGGATTAAAGGTGTGTGCCACCACCATGTACCTGGCCACAGTACTGTCGGTTTTTGTCCAAGCCAATGATTCTACACTTCTCCCCTTTGCTGTCATCCTTCAAAGCCCTCTAAATCCTCATATTTTTTAATTAAGAAAAGAAATGCTGTGTTCTTTGAACTAGTCATTCTAATCTTCATGAACTACCCTCGTGTATATGTTTAATATTTTCAGTATTTTATAAGAAGGTGGGTGGCAAGAATGTTTTCCTTTATTTTGTTTTTAACATGGTGTGCAATTATCTAATATACAGGGAAGTACAGGAGGTGCTAAATACAGTGAGTTATATTTGGAATTTTAAAAAAAAGGAATCACATGTTCTTAGATTTTTTCCCAAGGAACTGAATTAATGTTCTTACTTTTATACCAAATGCCACAGTGTAACTTTTCTTTTGACCAATAAAAGTTGCCTCAGTTTAAATAAATATACAGATCAACAGTTTGTTTTATTTCTGTATTAGCTTATCAAGTATATTAATAGACTTCTGTAGATAATAGCAATGGATTATATATGCTATAATGTCAATCCTAGTGATGATAGTTGGCCGAGTTAAATTTGCACAGCCTTGTTGCATTTTTGTAAATGGTTTAAATCATTTGGAAATAGGAAATGTGCCTTTAAATCTATTTTTTTCAAAATAAAATGTTATGCCAGTTAGATTATTGTTTTTGTTCAACCATGATTATACATAACTTACCAAAAGAAAAACCTCAAAATTCTTTACTACTAACGAAAAGACGGTTTGTTTTTTAATTGTTGTGAATGAGAACATAGCCAGAGCTAGCCTTCTTGTGGTTGAAGTTTTTAGCAGATTTATAATAAATTTTGAGATTCTAATAATTTTTTAAACGTGAACCTGGCCTAATATTACTTCCTATATAAGCATTGGCATTATTCTCAGCATTATGTAATATCTTTATGATATACTTGGAATTGATTGGATTTTTAAAATTTCAGAATATTTTCAGAAATTCTTGGTTTTTTGTTTTTCTTATTTGAAGCAGGGTCTCTGTGTAACCCTGACTGTCCTGGAACTCTCTATGCAAACCACACTGACCCTCAACTGATGGAGATCCTCTTGCCTTTTTTTTCCAAGTGCTAAGATTAAAGTCATGTTGCTGATATGAATAAGAGCAACCCTAAGTTTATAATCTCAAAACTGTGCTGTGCTGATGGCCACCGAGAACAACATGAATACGATAAAGTCCATTCCTTTCCTTCTTGGATTTCATACCTGGCCTAGAGCTAGCTAGAAAAGCCAGAATGTTGGGAAAGTTTAAAGTAAAGTCTTTGGATTGCCAAAGAAAATTCTAGGATCAGAGCAAACTTTACCAACAGGTGTTTGGGCTTCCTCAGTGAGAGAGTATTCTGCATGGACTTGTCATGGGAGGTGTGTGACAATTGGGAAACAGCAGACCATGTGGTTGGAACATGAGAACCGAAGTGGTCTGGGGCATAGGAAAACCCTAACAGATAAGGTTAGAAAGGTTGGAAGGGGGCTGTGGTGTCTTGAGGATCATGTTATTGTTTGCCCTAAGGCGGATAGTCAGGCCGT